TCAGAGTAATGAAACACTTCACAAATTTTTTAGACTGAAGAGCCATGATGTGAAAAATAGAAATCAGAATAGTCATCTTTACAGCTTTAACAGTCCCAAGGTGTTCCTAAACAAAATATGAAAGCATGACTCCACACCTATTGGAAGAACAGGCATAGCCTTTATAGTACTTGAATGTAGTCAGAGTAAAATGTTTGTGCATCTGATCATTCTACGTTCTGGGAAGGAAGGGCCACTTAATTGCCTTGTTACTGAGGAGTTGAATGTGAAGAGTTCGACAGAAAGAATCATGTACTTTGTGTGCCAAAAATGGCTCTCCAATGAGCAAGAAAGACATAAGGAGGAGCAGAGGACACTCAGGGGAAGACTTAGTCCTTCCCTTCCCCAATAGCAAAGCGCTCCAACATGTATTTGAGTTACTTTTTATTAAGCGAAGGACTTAAGTACAGGTTCATGACTTAACCGACTTTGGTAGAACTTAAGCATGTACTTAAGCAGATTCCTTTATCCTCGGAAGCCCTAGCCCTGGACTCCTCATTCATGCAGCTTAGCTGCTTATCGACCCTTCTACCTAAAAAGATACCTGCAAAGCAAAGCCAGGATTTGCTTCTATCTGATTAAAATTGGATGAGAAGGAAAATATGCCTGTAAAAAATATTGCTGCAAACTGTTTTCCCTTCCAGAGCCCAACTAACAAAGGAATATGCAAAAGGAGAAGAGAATTGCAAAGCATTTCTTGTTCAAGCAGGTTCCCAGGGTTTTTCCCCACCTCTTCATTCCAGACTGCTTTCTTAGCCACCCTACCATAATTACTCTGTTGCATGCCTTATTTCAGGTGAAGTTACTGTTGTTACATGTTGCTGTTTCACAATAATCGATGCATTTGTACTTCTAGCTCCAAATATCTAAAACCACACAACACCTTAATGGTTGCGATCAAAAGCAACCAAAGGAATTTAATATGAAGGCAGTGTTCCTCTTAATAACTGGTGATGGGTACTAGCTTCTAATGTATTCTAGCCAGAATGTCTTCATTTTGGTATGAGATGCGCTACCGTATGTCACCACAGATCTTGCTAAATCAGTTTGCTTATGGGCACTGTAGCTGATATAACAAGCCATGGCAGCAAATATTGCTGTGTATCTCAATTCAGAATCCAGTTCTGTCAATTGCAGTAACATAAAAACCATTCATATACATATGCAAATAGCAACACAAATCAATTTAAATAAAATCAAAGTAATTTAGCAAAGAATACATAAATCTTTTTCATTAGCAGGTAGCAGACATGATTCACAGCTAGTGCTTGGCTTTTATACAATATAACAGTGTTGGCATGTGTTTAATTCTACATGGTAATGCGAACATTAAACCAAAAAAGGTTGGAAATGAAATATTTCAGCTAGATCTCATTAATTTTACTACCTTATATTATAAAACCATACCTGAAACAATGGCATCATTTCATAGGATTGAGTTAATGATTTTGTGGCAAAACTTAAAAGCATTCCAAAGAATTAGAGAAGGAGACCAAGAGGAAGGGAAACAGCCAGAGCTGAGTTGAGTAAACTCAAGAATATTGATAAAATTAATTCCTCAGTTTATTACTCCTTGGCAGAGAAAGCCAAGGAGTAAATTGTTTATTTAATTATAAACAATACAGTGGCATTTTATTGTAAAGATTTCTTGTCTTTTTATGGTCTATTAATTTTCCTTTGACGTCAACTAACTGAAGTTTACAGGATTATTTCAGCAACTCATCACAGGTCATCAGAGCTGGGGTTCAGAAGTACCGTACAGAAATGGTGTGCATTCACATCCGATCACACGAGTAGGAACAAAGCTAAAGACAAGGCCTTGGTCCTTTAGGGCTCAACTGAGCTCTTTTAAGTAGGAGTGCAAGCTCCTTGACAAAAATCCCTGTACAGTCTAGGTTATGCTTACATGAACTGGCACCTCATCTATTTCAGAAGCTCTAAGCAGTACTAAAATGAATCCTTAGGCCTGCAAAAATAAAGGCCAACGGACTTTTTTTGGCAATGGACAAGGAAGTAAACACAAAACTTCTAATGCACTGATTGTATAAAAAAAAGTAATAGGAGAAATTCTGATGCTTGAAATGAAACATTAAGAAAGGTAGAAAGCTGGGCCAGCACTACAGCAGTTCTAGGCAAACTCATACAGAAGAGCCAATTCCGAGAAGCACATTCATACAATGGACAAAGTAATCTGCATGCAAACTAACTACATTTTTCATTAAGGCATATGCATGAAGTCTAATTGGTCATTTGCACACAAACGGTTAACCTGACAGCACACTCATTTTTAGCAGACACATGTTTGAATTTATAGCCCCCAATTTTTGCCTGTGGGATAGTTTGAAGCTGGAAGTGCTGGAGGAAGCAGTGAGGGATTAGGAATAGTTTAGATGTTGTTTAGGTTCCAGAAGGCACACTAGCAGCAGTCCTATGCTTGTTTTTTACAAGATCTGAGGGAAATCATACTACTCTTAAACGATAGTCTTGTTATCATTGTGTCACCTTTCAGATTTTTTTCTGTTTGTTCTGTCCTGCTAAAGGTGCAACAGCCATTGAGTTTTTGGAGAGCACATCGTTATCATGACACATAGGGAATTCTTCCTGGTTCAGCTAAAGATATGACAGATTCAAATACATAGAACATTTATTGAAAAATGTGATGGCTTTTGAGTTAAATGTTTTAATTTCTATAAATTAATTTATTTGACATTGTGTTGCTACTAAGAAACAAACAGCTAGCAAAAAAAAAATACTGTAATTAAGCTATATATTCAGATTTAGCGAAATCACTGGAAATTATGACAGTCAGAGTAATTCACTACATGCTCTCCATGCTGTTTGTCTGACATGTTGCTTTTTATTACACTTGAAAGTTAATGCAAACACAGACTACTCCTCTTCTACTAGCAGATACTCTGGTATCCATCCAAAGCAGCATGTGAATACAGCAGTGCTACAACATAGATCGCACCGTTGTGTGATAAGGACTTTCTGCTGAAACAGTTAATTAGTGTCCTACTTAGAAATAAACCAATAAATGTACAACATCTTCTCCAGAAGATTCAGAACATTCGTATAAAAAAGGAAGAGTCCAGATATTCCTGCAAAATACTCAAAGACAGATGAGCAGCAGAAAAACAAACCATTTGACACAAAAATTGACAGAAGACAGCTTTTCTGTTCTAGACTCTCCCAAGTTATTAATTTTTCTCTGTTTTATTTTCATTTGTTGGAGAACTTATATTTTCAGGAAGACAGAAAGCAGAATAACACAATTGTTTCAGCAGAAGATTCTAAACCCTGTTGGAGATTTCAATTATCAGCCAGTATTGTATAAAAAAAATAAATTGTTTTGTGATTGAGAAACCAAAAGCAGAATTTAAGGACAGAGAAATGACCATGATTTTTATCTATAACTTTAACTCTGGCTATGTTATAAGCTATACTATCACTTATACTCTGGCTATACAAGCCATCTAAAAACCCCTAAAAAACCACTCGAGTTACCAAGCTTCCCCTTTACATGATTTGATCCAACATAGAGCCAGACCTAATATACTAAGATAAAAACATCCATCTCCATTCTTTCCAATCTCGTACAAGAAATAAGTAAAATAGTATTTGTCTCCTTTTTGTTTCTGTAAGCCTGAAACTACTCCAGAGGACGTTAAATAAAAAAAAAAGAAATTTTATACAGAAGTGATAGTCAACCAAAGGTGTTATAAAGGCAGGATGACACTTATGTATTGGTAAGGCATGCAGGTGGATGCAGATAGATGGGACGGGAAGGAAAATGATAGAGGGAGATTGGATGAGGAAAGCAAATGAAGAGACAGCAAACTGGGAAGTAGATGAATACACTCATGGCTAATTGACTCAGTATTTCTTAACCAAATTCCTCTCCTAATCAGAGCAATAATAACAGAAGAACAAAAAAGTCCTCTAAATTAGCATGCAATTAATATTCAAATCAGTTCTAGAAGATTAACATTCACAGATATATACTATGTAATCTGTATCCAAATGATATACATTTACTAGCGATAAGATCTGATAGGCAAATGAAGCTTAGTCAATCACATCTTCGTCATTGATACAAAAAGACTATGCTATTTGGCATGTCAGGTATTGAAAAATTTTGCTATTCTTAAAGCCATTTCTGCATTTCAGCTGAATAATGTTTGAATATTTAATATTCATCCTGCTGACACACATTTGGAACTACTCAAACTAGAAGAAAAAAATTACGAATCTCAAAAAGCATAAAAGTTAGAACACAAAATTTCTTTTTTTAAACAGTACTAGTAACATTTACAAGTATTCTCGACACCACAGCAGTTTCAAATATGATGCACATTCCTCACGAACAACGAAGACTGCAGAAACTTATAAAATACATTATATATGTTTTTCAGAATAAGCCCATGATTAAGGAGCTAGAGCATATTCAGCTCTCCCACCTACTCTACTGTTCTGTGTTAAAGAGGATGTGAAAAGCTGTTTCTTGTATACAATATGTGGAGCTTACATAGAGAACATAGCTACAACATGCCACGTCACAGCACCTTTTGCTCCATAACTTGGTTAACGATCTAGCTGGTTTATAGTTTCCCTCCCATATTATGCAAGCACAAAAAGATTTGTGATAGACGTAAATAATTAGATATAAAAATGTAATATAACACAGATTCCAGACTTGTCTATATATTTTAACTGCTCCCTTAGCCTGCTATTTTGAGGTACAGGATACTTTCAGTTTTCCCAAATAATAATCATCTCACAGAAGTAGGGCCTTTTAATGTGATTTTTCTTGTTGATAACAACTGTATTTTTGTTTTGTAGCAACTATTTCAGGTTAGAAATGTAAATAAACACAGTCTAGTTAATAAGAGTCCACACATTAAAAAAACCCAATGATTTTCTGCGTTAGTTTTTTAACACACTTGCATCAATCACTGAATGGCTGTTTGGCACTGACTGAACATTGCAAGAGCTTGTCAAAACATTTTACCTGACAGATATGTTTGTTCTTCCATTTGCTCAGCACACATTGACCATTTTGCATTAAGTCCTAAAGGCCAACAGAAAACAGAGAGCAGAGTTAGCAGTACACACTGTCACTATTGGTTAACATACTTCTGATTTTCAAGTTTATAGATGAAGCATGCCACACAAAGATGCAGCTGTTTTAGAACAGCCCGCCGGACAAAAAGACATTTATCGTCACTGGGAGAGTTGGATCTTTATGAAAATTAAAGTTGTTGAAAGAGGTTTGAAATCCAGATTATGTTGCTGTGCTTGAAACTTTCTGGAACATACCTCTACCTCCTTCAGAGTATCTCGCAGTTTGTCTGGTCGCTTGTTTTTCAGTATCCACGGATAATCTCGAGCTGGCAAATAAAAGTTAAAAAAAAAAAAAAAAGAAGATAGAGAAATGTGTATATATAGGCAACTGTATATATATGTGTGTGTATATATATGTATGTGTGTGTGTACAAACACACACTTAAATGTAATAATAAAAAAAAAGTTCTTCAAGTTAGCTTCCTTTTCTGTGGGAACACAAAACTAAGATTTCTAAGAGTTACCTCAAACATAAAACTTATCTATAATTGGAAGGAAATGGCTATGATTTCTATTGGTTTGTATTGTCAAATGATATCCTTTTGAAAGGCCTTGTCGTAGGAACAGTTAGCATGAAATATCCACACTCACAATGACTTCACCATGGCAATTGTGTACAAAGCTCTCAGGATGTAGTATCTTACCCAGCTGCTAAGCACTTGCAATGAGAAAGCATCTCACATTCAATCTGTTAACTCAGATTCAAGTTATCAAATCCTAAACAGATACTACTCTTTTGAACTAGCATTTCATTGTCTAATTTGAAAAATCAGGCACTAACGTGTCTGCAAAACATATATGCATGAATATATGCATATATAGAGGTATTAACAACAGGTAACCGTGAACACCATAACTTGTATTATGGACTATAGTTACTTATAGGATTTGTTCTTGAAAATTTGGTCTGGAGAATCCGTAAAGTCAAGCACACGAGAAACTGCATGATGCTACAGTCCTTTAACAAATTTATTAATGTTTAGCAAAGTATTGTGAAAATTCTGGCCCGATACATTAATCCTGAAACCAGAAGGCAAAGCTTCCTCTTAGTAATTGGCTTATTTCATGGCTGAGCATCAGGCTCTAACAACTTGTGAAATCTCATCATTTAAAAGTGAGGAGTTTTCTGTTCATAAGTATACAATAAAAACCATGAGAAACTAGAACACACTGTCATTTTAAAACCTAGCCCATTTAAAGGCAACCTGATGAAAAGTTTTGAGCTCTGAGCTGTCAGTTTGTATGCCAACTTCCAGGCTAAATGACTTAACAGTTGTGTTTAAACCTCCCTGAAAAAAGGAGCTTACAATAGAAGTGCTATAGAGTGAAAAAATGAAGGATTTCATATAGCAACAAAAGAGCATAACAACATACAACTTCTCTTTGTATTTCATTGGACTGAAGCCAGTGTTGGTGGAACTGTTATGATAATATTAATTAGGCATGTAAGATCGCATTTTCAATGGGTGCCTTCATAAATACTGGAATATTTATCCATATATGCAAGATGGGAAATTGCCTGTACAGATACCAAACTATATATACAAATCAGCAGCTGTGAATAAACTTACCCAGTGCCCCTCTTTAAGAAATGAGCCATACAGTGCTTTGTGCCTAGGCTATCCCTCTATTTACAGCAACAAGGGGCAGTAGTTTGTGTTCCTTTCACATGTCATGCATATGAAAGACAAGAGTTTGGGCCTCTGCATAACGGGGTTTATCTGGGTCTGCTTCTCTCTTCATACAGGCAGTGCCTGTAAGACAATGCTACACAGAGCACGAGGGATGTAAATCCATTACGCTCCTCCCTACTCGTAACACTTTCTCACCTCCCCACCTTTACAGAGCTGTATTGATTCTGACTGACACACACCCTCCACAGCGGGTGTAGATCTACCACGTGGCTGCGTGCACCTTTATACCCATCCCCAATGGGGCTTCAACCTGCTCCAAACACACCTTGTGGTGTTGCAAATAACTTATCCTTCCAGAACACATTTTGCCTTCAAACGCACGTGAATTTTCACTATGATAAGATAAAATGTTAAGGCAATTCTTACAGCATACATACTACTTTGTGAAGTCGCTTAAAAATCAATTAGATTATTCAGAGTTGTCATGTAATAATGTTTGAACATTAATGAATGCTCTGAGCAATAATAACTATGCAGGAGTTGTAAAACTTGAGCTAAAGAGAAGTTGTACTAATACAAAAATCTTTAACTGTCACATTGCTGCTGTGTGATTGCATAAACTGAAATTGCTTTTAACCAGATAATGCAGGAACACTGTGAATCTTCCAAAGCTAAAAGCACTCTGTGAAGGCAGCTGATGATTAACCTGGAATTTGATTGTGGCTGGAAGTATTTTAGTTATAATTCTCAGTTTTGAGGCAGTCAGTATTTCAATTCAAGAGCTGATTGGGAAAATGTGTATTGCTCAGTAAAATTTCATACTGATTTACTCAGCATACTCATTGCTGAGTAAATTTCATAAGCAAAAATCTGGTTTGTGATTATTTTTGCAACTCCTCTTGACAATGGATTTGAGAAGCAATACACACCACCATGCTTAGTGATGCAGAGAAAAACAGATTGCAAGTATACCAGGAAGGAATAATTACAACTTTTCAATTGTTTTGTGCTGTATAGTTCTGTGACCGTCTGTCTTAGACGGCACATGCAGAAAGTTACGCTGGAAACAGCCTGAGGTTATTTTAATGCTTTTCCAGGGGCATCACCAACCCAAATTAATAATTGGGTCTTAGTGTAACAAGACACTCAGGAAACGCCCTTACATTCTGCTAGCTTTTGCTTCTCTTCTCGGTAACTGCGCTTTACCTGTGATGCTAAAGGAAAGAAAGGATGAAAAGATGAATGCTAATCCTGACAACTGCTGTCAGCAAATGCGAATATTGGCGAGCAGGTTCATGCAGTTTGTTAAAACACAGAAATTTACGAAAAATCAAGACAGCCCTGGTGTTTTCACCCCGTAAAACAGATATCTCAAATGTGCAGTGAAAGAAAGGCTGCTGCGGCCCAACAACAGGTGGCTCCGGCAGGGAGCGAAGCGAGCTG